ACAATCAGTGGACGTTATTATTTTATTTGATAATCGATTAATGGATTAAACAGTGTATTAAATTTTCCAGTAGAAGAGAGAAAAACAGAGAGATAGAGATGGAGCAGGCACGAGACACATTTTTGAAAAACTTTAGCTGAAATAATAAAACCATTATCAAACTTGACGTATTAATTATAATTAGCATTAATATTCATATTATTTTAATTTGGTCACCATCCTCTTAAATATTCTTGTAAGGAGCTTCCGCCTTCACTTGAAATGCAAACTACAACAGAGGTAATCAAAGTTTGTCTAGATGAGGTAAAATTTATCTTCACTTTTTGTAACATTGTTTTTAATTTTTGATAATGAAATTAATTATTAAAATAGCTAATCCCTTATAGTTATTGCAATAGGGATGAGTCAGAAAACAAAAAAGTTCTTTAGAGCCTTACACTGTTTCACTAATGAAATAATAGCTATTTACCTTACAAGTGTAGTAAGAGCGTTTTTACATCACGCAGGTGAATGTTGTTCACATAATTTACCAAACTGATGTAAACACGCTTTTGCGTAACGTGTAACGTACAAGATTTTACCTGGCCCAAGGCCACCTGGCCCGACAATATACAGGAGGTTACGAACAATATTTTTCATTATCCATTTCACTCATCGTCTAACAGTAACGTTCATTTACAAACAAAAGCTAGGTTAGAAAAATTCTTCAAAACATAACAATAATATTCAAGCGCACAGCTGATTTCTAGAGAGTTGAACGTCGTTGGCTCCATAGAGGTATATTTTTTAAGTTAAGCACTCAATGTTATTTAAATGGGTTTCATTACATCACTGAGTGAGTTTTTTTCAACTTTACATCACTCGAGAAGTAACGAAGTTGTATACATCACGCTTGGGAAAGGGAAGTTTAACATGGCGGGTTAGGTAAAAAAAAAAAAAAAAAAATAGGGAGCCTCCACATAAACTAAAGGTGTAGTAAAGACTAATACCTAAACTTTGATAAGAACAACTTATAGCTGTTTACACTTTTAATTAAATATTAGGAGTTGGTACAGTTTCTTGCATTTAGTTGAGCGGAGCGAGCGAAGCGAGCGAAGCTCTTTGGGATCAACTTCAATGCAACAAATAGAGAAACATCACTCAATAACGGCTGGACACATTTCAGCCAAACTTAACAAAATTACTTAGACTAATAGTGAGATGGTTTTTAAACAAACAAATTTCAATTAGATAATGCTAATGCAATTTAAAACGAACTTAAAATTTCCAAATTTTAACATTAGGCTTATGGGACTAAAGTAGCCATATGACAGTTTTTTGTTTACAAGAAAAATGTAAACAAGAGAACCATAAGTGGAACCAGTGACTACTTTCTTGGGAACCTATATTGTGTTGCCAGCTGATTAGAAACAGTTAATTTTAGAAATCAGGATTTAATATATCGATACAGGAGCGATATATCGAACCGCATCGAAATCGATATTTAATCCGATAATACCTCACAGGTTATTATGTTTAATTACATCCACGGTGCAGTAAGTTATTACACTTATTAATAAAACGCAGATTGAACACTGATCTAATTTAGGCATGTGGGGAAGGTAGGTCGGGGTTTATGAGTATTCGTGACTACATTAAGTGTTTTGAAGTATGGTTAGATTAGGAAGGTAAAGTGTAGGTTTTAAAGGTGATCGGGTTGTTTATTTGTGTTGCACCATATTATTTTTATCTTTTGGAATAGTTGGTTGAAGCCCAATGTTTTTGTTAAAGGCTACAGTTGAATTTGAATGTTAAATTTCCTTTCTCTTTTTTATACTTTAATGCCCTTTTTGGATGTTGAAATCAGATTCCAACTACTGTAATATTTTCCTGGTCAAAACTAGCATAATGCACTTTTTGAAGAGGTATCTGAATAACAAGATGTAGTAAAACAAATTTGAATGATTATAATTTTAATCAATAAAACCAGCATTAGTACATCTATTGACTTTTTTACATTTAGTACTTATACAAATATCAAATCACGTCTTTTCCGCTCAACTGGCTTTCACCTCTCTGAAAGCAACCCTAGTTATTATTTTTACACAACATCAAATACTTGTTTCCCTTTCATGAAAATTGTCGCTTAATCCAAAAATAAAAAATGTACCTAATAGGTATCTCCTTAAGTAAAGCAATAGTTTAAAATACAGCTTTATTGCAATTAATAGTCCAAAGTGCTTCCAGAGCCGGCATTGCGCAGTGCAGTGCCCAGTGCAAACATTCGGAGCGGGGCCCCTATTATCAAAAAAGTAGTCAAATTCACTGACTTTATACAATATCTTTATGCTTTGCAAAAACCATGGGGCCCTCTGTGCAGCCGCACACACCTTTTGCATGTGCCTGAGGCTGGCTTGCTGGACATATCACTACTTTTATGGTTAGTCTGCTATAGGCCTACTCTGACTCTTGTCGCGGTTCTGACTACTAAGTTCTTGTCGCGGACCATTTTACAGATGGCCTCAGACTAGGCCTAGTGGGTCGCAGCATTATTACATACATTGCTATAGCCATTGGTGATAAGCGTACGGGACCTTGGGGACTGAAGCCCAGTGCTCCACCCCTAGTCCAGCTCACACCCTGACCTTGGGGACTGAAGCCCAGAGCTCAACCCCTAGACCAGCTCACACTTGACAGGTAAATTATGTCATTAAGGTAGTAAAATATGGCAATGATGAAAATGTTTGTACCTAATGAGTGATTTACTGATACAGTAACTTCCATATACGAAACAAAGCTGTGAGTCTTACACTCTATATTGGGCTTATCAAGGTTTCCAGATCAATTTGTCTATAGGTTTTAAAAGTTAAGGGGAGGGAACCCTCTGCACAGTCTGCATATCTCAAGGAACAGCGGGACAATTTTAAAATAACTCTCTGATGCAAACAAAAGTAAATGCAGGCAGCTATGGTTAAAACAAAAACCATGTTTCTCACATTGGGGAGATCCAGCCAACCAATTTGCACAGGTTGGTACATTTTGGCTGGGTAGTAAAATTATTGTGTTAACCTTCAAATATGAATGTTGCTTGTTTGATTCTGATGACAATCTAACCCTACTTTCATTCATCATTGAACAATCTAAATTGCTGTCTAACAATAAAATAACATATATAGATAGTAATGAGATCATAATTTAATTTTAATGTAGATTGTTCTCCCTTAAAAAAATTCAGAAAATCCTAAATGAGTACAAAGATAAGATACAAAAACCTAGTAAAAATACATGCTTAAATAAACAAGACGTATCCATCCCCCAAGGTCAGTATCGCAAATCCCCACAATTTCTTACCACCCCTTCACATCCCTTACCCTTCACTCACTTGGCCAACACCTTACCACACAGTAACCAAACTTTAAATTGAAATCTTAGGATTTACAAAATTAAAAAAAAAATACAAAACTAACTCTCAACATAAAAGGTTGAAAGGAACATTCGTTTTCAAATATAAAACTATTGGGAAGGTGAAATTGTGACAATATTTGGGCAATTTTGAATTGATGAAATGATCATGCTCATTAAAGAGAACTTGTGAAGATGTGAAGGTCTCTTCACCTAGCGGAGAAATTATGAAATAGCCACAAAGACAAACGTAAGACCAGGTAGCCACTGAGGGACTGAGTAGATAGGAAAATAAAATAGGAGAGATTAAGACTATGGTCAAATATATGCCCACATCATACTGTCATCGTAATGACAATGATACATTATCATCGCGGCCCTATCTAGATCATCTCTTGCTATATTGCAGCAAAAGCTGCAACATGTCCTGTAATCGAGGCAAAATTAAGAGCATCTCCCACTCCTATGACAGCGAAGATATTGTCATCACCTCCCGTGATCGCAACATTTTTATGGACTCCCATGATTGCAGCAGACCAACTATATTATCAACGATATTTTTGTTTAATGTACAGTTCTTATAAAATGTTTGGAATTTAAAAAAAATTTCCCACAAAGGTCATGCATGAGCTGCATGTATCTCACATTCAACCTTGGTCAAATTGATCTTTACATTCCCTCCCTGTTCGTGAACATTTCACCATTGCCTCCTGTGGTCGTGGAAATATCTTGAAAATCCCCCTCAGTTGTAAAGTCATCATCATTGCCTCTCAAGATCACCGCAACGTCTTGAAATCCCCCTGCGGTTGCAGAGAAATGATATTTTTGTGACAAACAACTGTTAATCATGAATAACCAAAATCGAGTTGTAAAGTGTTAGTAGGGAGTATGAGTTTAAAATGTTTATTTATGGCTACTTACAAAAAAACTTAACAACTTATCAATGACAATATGTCAAAGAGTTGCCCCCCCCCCCCAAAATCCCAGTAGTACAGTAGTCGCAGCTAGTCTAGGCGCCTAGTCCTTGTGTACTAACCATCCCCCACGCCAAAGCCATAAAGACAGCGCTGAGGCACTGAACAGTCCCAGAGAGCCGTGTGGGCCAGATGTTTTTGGAAATGAGCAATAAACACTCCCCTCTACACCCCCCGCCATAGCGTGGCGGCACGCCCAGACTGGCTGCGACTACTGTACAAGTGCATCACTTTCCCCCCCCCCCCCTGGGCATCACTGCTAATAAAACAGCAGTGAGTTTAGTGAGTCGGTGGCTCAGTCGGTAGTGTCGTGGACTTCGGGCCCAAGGCAGCAATGTCGTGGGTTCGGATTCTGGTCACTGCCACTAAAATTTATCAGTACAGTTCACCTTTGTACTGTAACGGCTCAATCCTTGCTTTGCTGTAAACGTTCCACGCACGGGCGGTTAGTCTATGTGGACGGGCAAATGCAAGGTTAAAAGAGGCCACCAACCTCTTAAAAAAAAAATATATATATTTAAAATAAAAACTAACAGACATGTGTACCCCACTCTTCCACAACTGCATTGCATTTGATATATGCAACTCTAATATATCGCTTTGAATTTACTTGTTTTAGAGGTCTAAATGAAATCAAAGTCTTACCTGGCAATATTCACGGTCAGTTTCTTCCAGGTCATCTCCGCTTTCAATGTCTGGGTCTTTGCCCTAAAAAAAACAAATAAAAATTATTAATTTCAAATACCTTATTACTTTATTGCATTTCTCACGAATCATACATAGTCAATTATAAATTAGTTTGTACTATTAAATTAAAACTAGTGGCTAGTAGGGGCAATAGCCCCAATATATATATTCTAGTAATTATTTTGTACAAATTATTCCTCTCATGGGTTACCCTGCCTTTAATTATCGTTTAACATTTTCGTTTATTATAATAAGTATAATAGTTATTACATAACTGCATAATGCATTTTGATGTCTGCTCTGTTTGAAATAATAATTCAAAAGGACTGTTTATTACTGTTCATGTTTATAATACAAACTTTCTGATCATAATACAACTAAGGGACATTTTAAATAACGATCTTCATTACTATTAATTAAATATAATACCGTATACATTTCTTTAAATATAGACAAATTCACTTAGATAAAACACATACAGATAATGTCATCCTCCAAATTGTAAAATGCCAATTCTATAACAAAATCTCGCTGCAAACAACATTTGTTGTATGGTATTTATTTTGGTCGATTCCTTGGTCTTTATTTGGTTATAGGCTAGTACTATTTTAACATCATCTGGCCGCTTTCCCCGGCTAAAAGCAACATAAAGTTGACCATGGGTATACACTGGTTTTTTTCCTTCAAATAAATGCCAACTTTTGTGAAGGTTTGTCCTTGCGCTTTAGCAAAAGCTAATCGCAATGGGAATTGAATCCTTGTAAACTTAAACGGCATATTAGGATCTGTAGATCTTAGTTTTATTTTTGGCATGAAAAATATGTTCCCTTTGCCTACTCTAGTAATTACTTCTAACTTTACACTTTTTCAGACATACCTAGCACAACCAATCGTACTCAAATAACTAATCCAGATACATATTACAGTACACATTACCATATGCTTTAAATAAAGATAAACCACATGTTTTCAAGTAAACAAAGCAAACATGACCTAGATTCCCATGCTATTTAAATGTGAATTATTTTATTCAGTAACAACCTTTTGGTGCATGATTAGGATAAAATTAATAATTTTCCCCAAAATTTCATCCCTAGACCTTTAAAATGAGACCTCTCCCATCTTTCTACTGCCTCCCGTTAGCTCACAATTTCATTGTAAAATTTTTGGCTTACGGAATTAGATATATAGATCATTAGGTTATCAGTAAAGTAAATTAAATTAAGGTCCCCAATGAGCTTCCATCAAGATAAAGCAAGTCTTCTATACTTCCATCACCATTATTATTTATACTTTTTTGTGACATTTATTTACTGGTTGCTTACCCATTTATCAAAACACATGGTAAAACAAAACAATCCAAAGCTCAAATATTTGATGTATACTTTACTATATATTATCCTTTTTTACATAGGCCCTAGTTCATTCACTATTTAGAAACTTTTTAATCAGTGTTATGAGTTGATTTGCACCTAGTAGAGAAACAAGAGCTAGAGTAGAACATCTTTAATCCAAGCTAATTGGGACCGGGGGTAGTACGGATCATTGAATAGTTCGGATTACAGAACATATTGTTGTTTTTACATAACAATAGATAAAACACTGAATAAATTGGCTCTAAATTGTGACAGGAAAAGTGAAAAAATGCTTTATAAAGTAAAATGCAGTGTTTATCTAAAACAGTAGTAAACATAGTGAATAAACAGTACTGTACATTACAATAGGAACAATTACTGTGCGTACCTATACAATAAAGAACTACTGTACTGTGTATGGAGTACAGTTCAATGAGGCGTTTGGATTACGGGGGTTCGGATTAAAGAGGTTCTACTATATACTTCATATTGCTTGGTGCATGTAGTAAAATCAAACTAGAATGCAGTTCTATTTAACTGTTCTATTTGTATACTCACCAATGATGGGAACTCCTGCCTGAGCTCAGCACACCACTGTTGGTACGGCTGGCCACAGGTGGACACTTTGGTCATGAAGTCTCTCAACTCTCGGCACAGAATAGGGTTGCGATCTATCTCCACACGAGACACTCTCAACCATTCCTACAGACAACACACACATATTAGGTGTTTAGAGTACAGTGTATACATTAGTTTACTGGTGCTATATAGGGAACTCAAACACACTCATTTGAGGAAATAAGAGGCACTATAAACATACAAGAGTATTTTCAAATAAATACATACGTGCACTTTTCAACCTACCTTTACAGAAAAATCAACCCTGTAGTAGTATAATGTAAGAATCATCACACTCCTCTGTATATAGTCTAATGACACCAGGTAGTGAATGTGTTAACAGATTTCCTCCAAGCCGTAATACCAGTGTTGGGGAAGCTACTTTTAAAATGTAGCTAGCTACAACTACTGCTACATTTCCAAAAAAGTAGCTTAGCTACAGCTACAGCTACAGTTCCGAAAAAGTAGCTAGCTACAACTACAGCTACAATGAAATGTAGCTACAGCTACAATTTTAGCTACTTTCCCAAAGACGTTCCTTTTTATTCCACGCACATTAGGTAAATGTAAAATTAATTGCAACAACATTTTTATTGAACAAACATTTAAACAAGAAATGTCAGTATTGTATCTAACATTACTTGGAAAACAAATTATTCCTAGATTTTATTTAATTTGTTGGCATTATAAACCTAACATTACAACAACAGCATCAAATAGTTGGGTGTCCCATCATATTTAGTACTTATTTTTAAATATTGCATTATTTTTAAGCATCTTATATGTAAATTTCATTAAGTTTAAAGGACATACAACCAAACTATATTTTAAAAGCTCATTTTATTTCTTTAATATAGATGTCTTGTATCAACAATTAAGACCACTTAAACTGTAAAACGATTATTTAAAAATACTTTTTTGTGTTACAGAGCCTAGCCTATTGAAATTGGAGTTTATTGCCTTTCTTACAACAATTTAACAACAGTTTATTGCCTTTATTGTTAAAAACAACATTGCTATAACTTTTGACCATAGTGATAAGTTACTTGTTCTATGAATAACACTTTTCAATGTCAAGAAATCGTCCTTTATTGTCATTATGCATAGGGCAAATTGAGCTTCAACCTAGTTGGTACAGAAAACAGTATTCAGCAATTTATCCTGAAATCGGCTTTTAATTTAAACATGTTGAAATTTGTAAAGTAAAAATAACATGTAGGCCTATTTGGCTATGTAACAAGTTGGCTATAGTAGTTTTGTTCTTGTAAGGACTAAACAGATATATTCCTAATAATTGAACTTGGTAGGCCTATTCGTCTTAAACCATAGCATAGCCTAGGAATAGTCCAATACAAGAGCTGTTTGCAGGAGCAAACTATGCTATTTTTTATGTAAGTTTCATGTTACATGGAGATTTTTTCGTTACAATTATCATGTAGTCTAGGCATATCTTAAATCTCATCAGGTAATTTCCTCTTTGTTAATTTAGTAAACCTTTGAAAAATCTTTGTAATCTAACCAAGGAAGGGCTTGTGACGATGAACCACAATCAACAGCTGAAGCAAAGGTTTATAGACCAGCTTTCTCATTATTTTAAGGTTTAGAGTTGGTTTCCATTAAAACCCTAGTTAAAACACTATCAATATAACAAAGAAACTACATTGATTACTAGTAACATGTAACATGCCCTAGTTTCCCTGTCAATCACTTGCAAGCATTCAATAGCTTGTCTTGTCACTGGTACCGGTAACGTTTAAACGTCGTCTGCATCTAGCGATTTTATTTTATCTGACAGTAATCATAGAGTAGTAAATTAAGGAAATGAGAGCTAAAAATGTGGATAACACTCATTTAATGGCCTCCATGTCCACACAACGTTGTAATAGGGAATGAAACGGCTGCAACCAGCTGTATGAAGCCAATAAAGTAGGCCTAATTGTTTTGAAAATCTCAGTTTGAAAGATGTTGTTTCACGTAAGGTTGAGGTTATGGTAAAAATCACTATCTCAAACAATGTTAATGTAGCGAGAAAAGTAGCTAAAATTCCGCTACAACTACTTTAAAAATCTAGCTAACTACAGCTAAAGCCACAAAATGTTAAAAGTAGCGACGCTACAGCTAACGCTACAAAAAAAGTAGCGCGCTACTGTAGCGTCGCTACTTGTAGCGCGCTACTTCCCAACACTGCGTAATACTCTGTATGTGTAGTCTACACCCTACAGACACTTACCATAGCATTGACTGAACAAAAAATCTGCTTTAAAACCTTGTTGTTCTTGATACTAAAATCTTTTATATTGTTTATTTTAATTAAGACCATGTTATATTGATGTAAGCTTAGTTTTATACTCGGTTACAATTACTGTAAAATTTTCCCTGTGGTACTGTTGAATTTTATTTAGTATTTATAAACATAGGCCTAGTTTATATTTTGTTAAACATTTTTAAATGTATTTAACCAAGAAGGAAAGAGAAGACTTGTATAAGGACAATTTTAGTCATGACGAAGCACCTGTACATACACTCTGTAATACTCTGTACGTTTTGTGCCAATAAATATCATTTATCATTTATTTAATATAAAAAACCCAAAGAAAGGAAAATAAATATAAGAAGATGTACTTTTCATGAAATACTTGTATTATAGTTACCTCAATAAAGTTAAGAATGGCTCGGTGCCATGGGGGTATCTCCAGCTGTATGCAGGCGGGGCTGTCACGCCGGCGGTTGGTGCGGTCTGAGGGGGAGAGAGAGCTGCGGCGGCTTGTCACCCCCACAGCGGGGGCTCCTGCACTACCAGACGACACTCTACGCTCCTCTACAGGGGTACCTACAGGGCTGCTGATCACCATGGGTCCCATCGGCCCTTGATGCTCCGTCTGTACAATAACAACAACAACCTGCTTGGTTACAGCCACTTCACATTTTACATCAACTCACACTAGTTTACTTATAACTCTAAATGTTTAGTAAAAACCTTCCAGTTTTAAATCTAAATCCTCAACACATGCGCTCTGAGGTGCACCACCAAATTTTATTTTGGTCAAAAGTGAATATGTGTACGACTAAATAACAGATTTATAAAAAAAAACTAAAATGTGTGTTTATATGAATAACTAAATATGGGTAAATTAAAATTAATGTATTCATTGTACCTTCATTACAACCTTAAGTGTATTAATTCGATAACCTCAAGTACCGTACATTAATTATAAGGTTTTAGTAACAAAATAAGATATGAATTATAGGCTACTAGTAAAATCGTTTACCACAAGTAGTCGACCTGTCACTATCTCAAAATAACCTGTGGTCGATGTGTGCCACCCGTGGCCACACCCAGTACCTACTGAGTAAAACAGAACATCACAAAGTTCCAATGATGTCGTCTTGAGTAGCAACTACTAGAGACAACCTTGCAGACACTAGCTTAGCTATAGTTGATGATTAGAAAAGACGGTTTCGGACAGTGACAATGCATAGGGCCAAGGAGATTGGCTATGTTTTAGTGCTTTCTAGACCTTTTTTATAGTTTGAATGGTTTTTTATTTTGTTAACTTTTTGAGTTCAACAGAGTTTTATGTTGTAATAAATAAAAACAAAAACACTTTATTGGATATGGATAGCTTGGTGTGTGGTGTTGAAATACGAATTTGGTTCATGTAACGTCTGTGGATATAGGCCTAGTACATGTGCTTTCTTAAAACACCAATCACCAATACATAGGCCAATTTCTGTATGTATCTCTGTCTAGGACGGGAATTGTAGGGCTTTTGAAAAGCTTTCAAAACCAGGAAAAATTTGTCCAATCAAACGTGTTTAATATGTTACACCATGAGTTCTTAGCATGTGTTTCCTTGTTCCATGTTTTTTTTTTATATGGTAATAGAATTACTATTGTATTTGGTTAGTTTGATCTCTTAATTAGGTGTTATGGGGACATAAAACTCAACAGAAGTTTGGTTATAATTCAGTGTCCTAAATCTTCCAATAAACAAATCATCAACAATAGAGATTTGCAAGGAGGATACAATCTGATTACTATTGGCAAGTTTTACACTTTAAAAGAAGTAAATAAATAGCAGGGACAGATAGTTTCTCCTCTGAATTAGATCCTGGGGGTTAACAGTTATTTTACATATAAGTAGGGACTTTCATGACTTCTAGAAATTGAGGTACTGTACCGGAAGAACAGAAGCTATCAGAAACTATAAAACAAATGAGAAACATATTATTTAAACCAAACTTGAGAATCAGAACAATTATAAACAACAATACAATACATCAACTAAACAAGGGTTTTTTTTTTAAAAGGTTTTCCGGTTGTAAAATTTATTATTGCATCAAATCAAGCCCTTCACCCATCTGTGATTTTGTGATTCTGTTATATTGTATGAAGTTATCCCCAAACACTTCTACTTTTACTGATTTTCGTTGGGGTATTGTAGTTGTAAATATCTACAGTTGTATTACGGACCTGAAAGCCAAGTGCACCTGCACTGCGACCCCTGGGTAGCCTGAATGATCCTCCCCCTGTCGGCCACGCCACCTCTGGGAGTGTGAGGAATCTGGAACTCTCGTAGGTTACCCTTGGCATGGAGCGGGACCGAGGCCGCAGGTGTGGTCCCTTAGCAAGGAACTCCGCTGCGGCTCTCACCGGGTCTGAGCTGCCTGTTAGTGGATGTTCCGGTGAGTCAAAGTCTGGCAAGTTCTGAAGTTGCTTTTGAAATGCTAAAATTTCTTGCTCTGGGGTTTCTTTTCGGCCATTGGTGTCTCTAATTATCTGAAATATGTGATACTGAAATATTATCAAAAAATATTGATGAAATACTCGTATATGTTGTTTGGTTTGTGTGGCATTAATCACTATTACAAAATGTTAGAACTCTTTGAGTACCAATGTCTGTTTATAACACACAAGAGTATTACAACAATACTGTCTAAATAAGTATATTTCAACAAACCTGCTAAAATCTACACCAAACATGTGGTTTGAGTCAGGAAACAATTTTAAAACTACCACACTTAAGTTTTTGTTTAGCCAGTGATGCTAGTTTGATAGACAGGTCTGGTCTGGTGTACAAGTCATCGGGAGTTCACTTGTCTATAACAGTGCATGAGCCGAGTGAGTTGATGAAATGGGTAGTATAAAATGGTTTAAGTTACCTTTTGCGTCAAACGATCCTTGATGTAGTAGATCGTTTGACGCAAAAGGTAACTTAAACCATTTTATATTGCAATTTTCAATCCAGAGGCTAACCCATCATGGAATGGGTAGATTTTTTGTCAGTGGCATGTCGAATTAATCATTTTCCAAAATTTGTTTATCATTACTGTGTGTATCATACTGTATCACACGTGTGTCAACCAAAGACTTGTATTGACAAAATTTCAAATTTGGTGTCTTATTAATATAGTTTGATGTATAAATAATTAAATCTCTGTGTTCAAACAATCTTTAATAATCCATTGAGTTCAAAGTATTAAGAGTTAATTTAGACCACAACTACTCATTTTTTATTGTTAGCAGATTTGTTTGTTTGATCAATTATTCATTAAATAACCTAACTTTTACTAAATATACATTTTTACAAAGAACTATAACACGTAAAGGGTGATTTAACTGAAAAAGATATACGTGTTATAAGTAGTTTATGATGCTAGATAGTAATTATTGCTTAACAATAGATTTTAAAATGATACACATTTTCCTTCCTTTCAGTGGAGAACAAGTCACAGCGAGATACAACTAACAGCATTGTCTAACACGTTCGCTGCGGCCTACTGCTATAGCAGTATCGCGGCACTAGCCCTGCACGCGGCCTACTGCTATAGCAGTAGTGTGCTCCCCTGCCAAATATTGTGTCTGTCTGAGCCCAGCACTCAGACGCTGTTATTGTTGCCAGGCTGTAGCTTAGAATATGAGCTTTATTTTGTTGTAGGTTGGTACTAAAAATTCCCCCAAAATCCCGTCTGGCAATGCTTTTGTCCCGGTTTCGGGGACTTTTTCTATTCAAGCCATATTACAATGAAACTGGTTATTGATCCAGGTAGTGCTGCTACCTTTGGGTTATTCAGTGAACCACGTCCACTTTTGGGGTGACGCAGAACAATCACCACTGACTGCTCTTTTGTGACTGGTCTTACTGAGATATTTGAATGCCAATTGCAATCGCTGATTCAGTAGAGCGCCGGGGTTCCGCTTGGGCCTCGCCGCAGTTTTCGAACGCCTGTGTAAAGATTTTCAGAAGCGAACGTGTTAAAAAACGGGACCTGCTATTTTCTATCATTGAATTGTAAGGAAGCAATGTATTTACCTTTGTGATATTAGCCTGAGATTTAGAGCGTTGTTTGTTGCTATGTCGTAGACTGGAGAAGCGAAAGCTCCCCCGAGGCTTGTGGTGAAGGTGAATGTTAAAGGCAGGCAGAGGTAATATTCCAGCTCCAGAATCTGGAAAGTTGCCTAGTCAGGTGAAAAGAGACACTTTGATATCTATAAATGACTCGCCAAAAGACTAAAAGCTTTGACTATTGATACAATATAGTCAATGCTAAAAGTTTTTAAGTAAGACTGTGACAAAGCATTATGAAACTTAAACAACAACCATACAGGAGACTAATTTTAACAAGTTCATTTAAATCTTGACCAAATCTTAATGGAATAATCCTTACACCCCTTTTCTTTAAGGAACTATAAATTGGTGTTAATTTCAGCTGTATTTTTGACTACTGTATATTGGCAACGATGTAACGATTTATACATGTGGTTATTTGTGGCTTCATCCTATATTGGCCATTTGTGTCTTTACCACTGACAGCTTGAATACCGGTAGTTGATTCAATAATTTATTGATGTATGATGAGATTAAATTTGATGAAGAATGAAGTATATTTTGACCTTATAAAAAAACTGATTATGAAGGTGTCACTGAATATACAGGTAAAATTGCATCAACGTAATTGTAAGCTCTAATCAGTCTATGTAGAAGGAGAAGTGAGAAATGTAATACGGTGTTTAAAATTTTATTAAAATATTTAAAAAATACATAAGAAACAAACTTTATTACTTTTCAGAAACCCTGTTGTGATAGCTACTCCTAGCTTTTGGTAAATAAACAATTGGTGGTAAGCATTTAATGTACATCTCTTCTAAAAGGTGAAACTGGACCCAGCTCATCATCTCATCGGCTATTGGGCCTTTGATTAATAATTCTGGATACAGTAATGTAAAAACTGATTTCAGTCAGTAACAATCATTTTTTATTCACCTACGACTTGATTTACATACCTGAATTTACATTGTCTTTGTCTAAAAATCCAACCAAATGCTTGATTTACTAAAGAAAGATAGATGTGATTATTACCATCACTACTGTTACTACGCAGACTGTCTTTGGAGTGAGCGGGGCGCAGAATGTGAGAGAAGGCAAAGAGAGTGGCTTGCATGGCGGGCTCCAGACCAAGCCCCGAGGCACTGCTGACACTGTCACGAGGCACAATGGAGCCCCGCAGGAATGACTGCCGGGGAAGGCGGGGCGGCGGGGCAGGAGGAGGTTGTGGTTCTTCTACTGGCTCTGGCCCCCATACCCCTGTGTTGCAGTCGACAGTCAGGTTTACCTAACAAAAGAAAAGTGAAATTTGTACAAATATTACACTGCTTAAGTTTGTATGCTAAGCTCTAGATAAAGTTCAAACACACTACTGTTAGAATAATTTTTGATCCAACAAGCCTCCTATATTTCTCCTGTTTTACTATAGTCAATCAAATTTCAAAACACCCATTTTACATTGTAACAAAAAGATTTAGTAAGGAAACAAAAACATACTTACAAAAGATTAAAAAAAGATGTTGTTAGCAATGATAATAATGATATGTTTGCCATACCGATACCGGTACCTAATACTGTATTAATAATGTTAGAAAATTACTCACTTTCCTTCTCTTGCGCAATGTGCTGGGCTCAGTGTCGGTGGAGGAGGCGCGAGACCGGGGCGACCTCGGTGCCTCATGAGCCGACGCTGAGGCGAAGCTGGAGCGAGAGGCACAGCTTTTCCACCGCTGCAGATGAGCAGCGGTGGTAAGTAGCCGATGCAGCATCAGCCTCAGCAGCACTACTGGGTTCAGCACACACGGGAAACATGATAGGAATGTCTGTACAAACAGTGTTGAGCAGGGGTCCGACGGTAACTTCTGCTCTACTAGAGCTGTAACAGACAATTGGCATCAGAAGCTAGATACTACTACCATATGGAAGTTCACTAAATTAATCAATTAGGCCTACAATATTTCTGGACCAAGACTAAAGTATTTTCTTTTAAAGTACACATAGTTATTCACTAATGGCATGATCTTAACAAAAGTTATATTTTCTATTTTCTCAGATATCCACCATTTACAGCAGCAACAAGGTCTAAATAATATTTGACGTTCCATGGACAGACTGACTGATAACTTTGTCAAATCAAACTTGACCACCACTTACAGCAGAGCAAAGTGTCTCACGGAGCTTATATTAATATTGATGCCATAAATGCTGCTCAAGATTTAAGCTGTCAGTGTATTTGAACTATCAGTTTGCAAACAAGAATATAGCTGATTAATCTGACATCAGTTCGCAAACAAGAATCTAGCTGATTATCTGACAACCTATATTTAAACTTCCTATGATGTCTCTCATTTTGCTGTTCTAAAGGAAATCTTGAATCTGTTTTATTCGAAGAATTAATTGCTGAATCAGGACCACAAATTTTGGTTTTGGTTAAACGAAACAGCATTTTTTTAATAATCTTTCAATAACTGTTTCTGTGTTCTCACCTTTATTGTAAGTGTGGCTGTATGTATTACCACTCAAAAACCAATGAAGAGTTGAGCTTTCAGTCGTCGTTGTTCCTTGCGTTAATGATGTCTGCAAAAGACAAGAACAACAATTACCAAGCTTAAGCAAACTAAAAGTAATGTTACCATGCAAAGTAGTAATTAAATTCACAGAAATATTGGCCCTGATGTAAAAAAAATTGCTGCATTGTTGGTAAAAAATTGGACAGACTCTACTACTCCTGCTTGTCCAGCAACCCATATCAATGAACTGTGAGCAAGTGATACTCATTGTGGCAGCCTCTTAGCTCTCCAAGCAATTGGCTGAATATTCAGATATACCTAACATAGATAAGCTTACCTCAATGTTTTTGAGAACATTTATAATGGCACTTTCTATAGAAACCCCAAGGATGGTTTTGTCTGCACTAAGGACCAGGCTTGGTGGAGCTGATGTCATGCTGATGTAGTTGTCTTCTACTGACTCTACTAGAGGAGTGGGCGGCACATCATCTGGACAAACACGGACACACAGGCTCTAATACTATAACTTTACATTAGTACAAAACCATTATACTTAAACATTTCAATTCAATACATAGAGAGGTAATTACAACTTAATTGTTTATGGATTGAGAAATCATGCAAAACTGTTGAGACTACCTTTTTGTGTACATCCACTTCTTGTCTGTGGAAGACAAGAATAAGTAGGTACTCTTTCATTTAATTCCATTACAGAAGTAGGAAACCCAAAAGTAATGGGATATTTGTCGTAATATCTTATCAACTTTAAGTATGAAAAGGCAGTACTGTATTTCTTCAAAATATCTTAAGCTAAATGGTTTAAGTTACCTGGCTTCGTCAAGTGATCCTTCTTCAGTATTACACTACTATAGTTTCGGACTTGAAAATAAGTCCATCTTCAGGTTAACAAAAACGTCAATAGATATCAAAAATATCTTATGGATGTTCAAACCCCATTGTAGATTTTTGTTGTTACCTCCTCTTTAACCAATGGTGAGGTATTTACTTCAATATAGTTGAGATCCAAACTATTTTAAATCAAGTGTGTTTACTATCAAATTTGCACTTACAGCATTTAACTGGGGAAGGACCCTAACTGTGGAAGTCTGATGAATGTGACTTTAGCTACAAAATAAATTGTTGTGTCTTTGTCTGTACACAACACATTTTTGCATGTTTTCTCCTTTATCTTTGGGTCACACTAGATTGAATAACATATATTTTAATCTTTATCTGGTACTCGGCTGAGCATACTCTTTCATACAACTAGTGTAAACAAGGCTTATCTGACTATACATCTCATACTTCTCACTTGAGATGGTTTACAAAAATTACAATTCAGTAATAAATACTGGTTTACAAAGACAATGTTTATGGGTAATTATTATTTTTACTCATAGAGAATTTGTTAAGGAACTGTACTCCTTTGTTACTCCAACTGTTTAAGATACTAATACAATGGCCAATTAACTGTGGTTTGATATTTAAGTAGAAGGAATTGGTAACAAAACAAACTCTTGAGCCCTTTATCAAAGAGTGTTGCTATCAAATCAAAATTAAACTTGTCTAGAAAAAAGAAGCTGATATTATTTTGTTGAAAAATATGGACTTATCTATCTTACCTTGTAGTATATCATAAACACAGAACCTCAGGTTGACTCTGTGTTGAAAACCAAGGTAGACGAGAATACGAGCCACATGATGCTTGACATAGCGAGCGTACTTGGTACTGTGGTTGGTGTAATACCACTCATCTGACGGTAGCAACAGCTGACTAAGAACATCTGGTAGACCGTTCTCCAACAGAGCTTTGTGATGCTGAGGCTCTAGAGCCAATGTAGCAACTATCTGCAGTACCAGCACTAGCAGTTGCTGCAACAAACATACTTGGTACTGTGGTTTGTGTAATACCACTCATCTGACGCCCTGACGGTAGCAACAGCTGACTCAGAACATCTGGTAGACCGTTCTCCAACAGAGCTTTGTGATGCTGAGGCTCTAGAGCCAATGTAGCAACTATCTGCAGTACCAGCACTAGCAGTTGCTGCAACAAACATACTTGGTACTGTGGTTTGTGTAATACCACTCATCTGACGCCCTGACGGTAGCAACAGCTGACTCAGAACATCTGGTAGACCGTTCTCCAACAGAGCTTTGTGATGCTGAGGCTCTAGAGCCAATGTAGCAACTATCTGCAGTACCAGCACTAGCAGTTGCTGCAACAAACATACTTGGTACTGTGGTTGGTGTAATACCACTCATCTGACGCCCTGACGGTAGCAACAGCTGACTCAGAACATCTGGTAGACCGTTCTCCAACAGAGCTTTGTGATGCTGAGGCTCTAGAGCCAATGTAGCAACTATCTGCAGTACCAACACTAGCAGTTGCTGCAACAAACATACTTGGTACTGTGGTTGGTGTAATACCACTCATCTGACGCCCTGACGGTAGCAACAGCTGACTCAGAACATCTGGTAGACAGTTCTCCAACAGAGCTTTGTGATGCTGAGGCTCTAGAGCCAATGTAGCAACTATCTGTAGTAGCAGTACTAGCATTTTCTGCAACAAACATACTTGGTACTCTGTGGTTGGTGTAATATCACTCATCTGATGGTAGCAAAAGCTGGTAGACCGTTTTTTCCAACAAAGCTTTGTGATGCTAAGGCTCTAGAGCCAATGTAGCAACTATCTGCACTAGTAGTTGCTGCAACAAACATACTTGGTACTGCAGAAACACTCTTGGCAGTTGTCCTTTAAGCACATTTCCCTATAAGAAAGTAGCTGTTATTGTAGGTGGCACAGTAAGACCTAGGCCAGGGACCGATTTACTTTTTTATTTTACACCATCCGTTCAAATTCATATATACAGTACCTATATATATATGTGTGTCCGTTAACACGATAACTCGAGCAAAACTGATCCGATTTTGATGAAATTTGGTACAAACCTATAAACCTACATAGATTCAAACTAGTTTCTTGAACTAGTGTGTTCAAATAGGGTTTTCTCATTTTTGACCATCAAAACACAAAATTTCCTGATTTCTCTCCAAACCATTTTGAAGATCTTAAAAAAACAAATAATTTAGTACCTAGAAGTGTTTTTGTACAGTTATAAGTCACGGAGAAAATCCAAAAGATTGTAAATTTAAAATAGCAAGTTGTTCTTATGGAGAATAAGTAAACTGATGTAGTTTGCTTGTTTATGGATATGATCAAACTTGTAAAATGTATTTATTTTATACTAAGCTATTAATATTTTCTAAAAAAATGACTTTATTACACCTTTTCTGTATCAGCAAACCTAGGTACTCGTTTAATGTAATGTTATTGGAATGTATTTAACTGAAAATCAAATCAGGCAAATGGAAATTTGCTTAGTCTGCAGGTTTGCTGTGGTGGGGGTATTATTTTTTTTACCCTCAAAACACAAAGTTTTCCAATTTCTCACAAGACTATTTTAAAGGGATTATAAAACAAATAGTTTAGTATAATAAAGTGTTTTTTTAAGGTTGTTGGTTACGGATATGGATAAATTTAAAAAAATTTTAATTTAAAATTCACATGTTATTTTTATGAAGAATATTGTAAACTGTTGTAGTTTTCTTGTTTATGTATAGGCTATATATTTTGATCAAACTTGGCAAATTTATCTATTTTATGCTAAGCTATAAAGTATAAATAAAAATAAAAAAATACTAATCTAACAGCAAACCTAGGTATTCGTTAATACTAATATTTAATGTATTAAGTATTCAATTAAATAAATTTAATTGAAAATGCAATCAGGCAAATAGAAATTCCCTTAGCCTGGAGGTTTGCTGCGGCGGGGGACTTATCTCACTTATCTGGATTGTGAGAAAAGTGTTCATTTTACTGAGGTTGCTATTTACTTTGACCCAAATCAGGGAGGAGATTTAATTTCATAGAATAAATAGATTGTGATTAATGCTCGACCCATCAGCATAATCAATTGTAAACTAGTTATTTCACTAGCTACTGTACTTAATGTTATCAGAAATAACTCTTTGAAGTTTGGTTATTGAGAACTGTAGTAAAAAAACTCTGGACCCTCCTTTTTATTCGGTACATACCGGATCATGTGTGGAATCCAGAGCAGCAGCCAATATCCTGAGCTGGGGCTCCTGAGACAGTTGAGTCTGCACTGAGGAACTCTCAGTCATGAACAATAGAGCTCGGGCTGCGAGGATCTGAAGACAGTGGTAGCTGCAATGTCGCCACCTACACAACACACCACCACTGAAACTGACACTACAACATAATGCAAGACTCCAAAACTCACATGCAGAGCTTGGTTGCAATCAAGGAGATTAACAAATAAAAGTAGTAGGAGGTTCATAAAATTAAAGTAATTAGTATGATAAAGTAACTTACATGCCAAATGACTGCACTATGATTGGGAATGTTAGTCTGAGGTAGATAAAAAACCCTAGTTGGTAACAGTGTTTGAACTTACTTTACACTACTTAACATCTTCTGCACTGGAATAGGTTGGTGTAACATTATTAAAAAGGGAGATTTGAAATGATCAGTTTTATACCAACTAAATTATTGCCCTTACACAGCATACCCAACAGTATGTTCTGCTCAACAAAATTGAGGTAGGATTTTAATGCCACAGTGCTTTAGATTTGACTTCTCTCTGAGACTCCTTTATAGTTTGCGGCTCGCTGCTCACCACTGTGGTCTGCAGTTTGGTATATGCATTGCCTTACATGGGAGCTTTTATACTTGAGTATTGCCACAGCAGCATTTTTTTAGTGCTGCCAACATAATGAGATCCCTTTCACTTTTTTAGTGCAGACATTTATTTTTTCTTCCCAGCAATGTCTTCTCAAGCAGCAAGAACAACAAGTCTTTTCTCCCGAACAATGGAAATTAATTTTAGTTTATGAAACTATTAAATTTGTATAAGGCAATAGCTGTAGGAATTGTGTCATTATCATTGAATAACTCCTTGATCAACTTATTGATTACTTTCCGTATTATTATTGAGCAAAAATTTATACAAGTTTCTGAATATTCCAATCTCAGATCTTGCTGGATTTATTGGGTTAATAGATCAGTGTCTTTACGGCAGTTTTTTTTCTTTAGCTTATCATATATGCCACAGCACCAGGATTAGAAGCTCTGTAACCTCTCATTCACTAGAAATCAATTCATTTTTGATGGTGAGACATAATGAGGTAAGGGATACTCCTGGAAGCTTGATGGAACTAGCATGGGGAAACTGTGTTCGAGAACCAATGATCTCTGAGCAAGGGTCCTTGGATGCTGCAGCACTAAAAGCAGACTTGGCTTGCAGGGGTGTATGGGAGGTTCAGACGGAAGCATTGTTCGATGTAAGTGTCGTTGACACTGATGCTCCATCGTACTTCAACCTCCCATATGAAAAGGTTTTGGAGAATGCAGAAAGAGAGAAGAAGAGAAAATATTCAACAATAACAGAAACAAGAAATGCTTCTTTCACCCCACTAGTCATGTCTGTGGACGGAATGCTAGGCAAAGAGTTTCAGACCTTTCTCAGAGCAATGGCAAAACGCCTAACAGAAAAATGGACTGTGCGACGTTAAGGGCCAGCAGCATGTGTCTAAGGAGGACAAGAAAGAAGTGGAGGACCCTTAGAGAGTTTGAAGATGGGGCTGTAGTACCAGCTTTTTATTAATTTAAATAGCAAATGTTTTATTTTTTTCCATGTCCAAATTGTACTATTTACTTATTATATTAAAGTGTTTTGCTTTCTCCTTCTGATGGTGAGTAGTAATATGTTGTAGTAATAGCTCTAATAACCCAAAGACAGTATAATGCCACTAATTGCCCTAATGGTCCTACTAAGTTGGATGTTCACCCACATAGCAACGCAGTATTCACACAACATACAACAGATAAAAGATAAAAAGTAAGTATGCTTAGTGTGGTGATATTCCAAGTACTGTACAAAATGTCAGCTGACATTCTTAATGTTTTAGTCAGATTTGTTTATTTATTCTCTTTAATTCTTGTATTCAGTTTTGCTTAATAAAACCTAAGTTTTATTCTCTAAAGGTTTATTACAATTTATTAAGCAAATATTATCATAATTAGTCTGAGAATCAGTATCTATAGGCTTCCTATAAACCATTCTATTCAATCACTTAATACTAGAGAAAGAAATGGATAAACTATTAAGACCAGAAAGATTTGAATGTCTACCTGATACAACCAAAGCAGCATTTGAATTCAAACATTGGTTGAGGACTTTTGAAAATTTTGTATCCTCTGTTGATAAAGTAAGTGACGAAGAAAAGTTAAAACTACTCATAAATTACATTAGTCACAACGTATATGAATTTATTTCAGAAGCAAAGACCTATGAAGATGCTGTGAAGGTTTTACAGACCCTCTATGTGAAACCTCAAAATGAAGTTTATTCAAGGCATATATTAGCTATTTCCAAGCAACAACCTGGGGAGTCTGTAGATCAATTCTTACAAAAACTGAAACTTTTGAGTAAAGATTGTAATTTTCGTAATGTTAATACAGAAGAAAGTAAAAACGATTACATTAGAGACTCATTCATCACTGGGCTATTATCTCCTCAAATACGTCAAAGACTACTAGAGAACAATACTCTGAAATTAGAGGATGCCGTTGCTCAAGCAAGAGCTCTAGAATCAGCTCAGAAACACTCAGAAATCTACCAACAAACTCATCAAAATCAATTCTTGAACAGTACTTTAAATCAAGAGATGAATCAAGAAGAATGTTATAAGGAATCATCACTGGCTGCCTCAGGGACAATAAAATGCTTCTTCTGTGGGAAAGCCAAACATCCTCGAAATGTCTGTCCAGCCAGGGATGCTGATTGTCGAAACTGTGGGCTAAAAGGTCATTTCTCAATTGTTTGTCGTCGTAAAAAATCAGGTAAATCTTCTAATCTTTCAGCCATGGAGAAAAGTCATGAGTCGGGACTGCTGGCTGCCGCTCCTCGATGTTTATCTAAGTCTGTAGTTACAGTTAAGATTAACAATGTTGTCGCTGATGCTCTAATAGATACTGGTAGCTCTGAAACATTCATAAATAAAACATTCGTTGACAAAACAAAGTTTTTAGTTGTTCCTGGAGGAGGCCAGATTTCTATGGCATCTGTAGACTTACAATCCCGTATCTGTGGGCACTGCTTCGTTGATATTGAGCTTTTAGGGCATCAACATATAAAAACTAAGGTTTCAGTTTTGCCTAATCTCTGTGCAGACATGATAATTGGGCATGATATTCTCTCTAAGTATACAAATCTATGCATATCATTTGGCGGTTCTAAGCCAGCACTAACTTTGGGCCCTTGCAGTTTGCCTACAGCTATTGTTGAACCTCCTGAACTATTTGCTAATCTTTCACCAGATTGTCACCCAATAAAAATAAAATCTCGAAGGTTCTCCCTTGATGAAACAAGATTTATAGAAAATGAAATAGGTAAATTGTTGTCTGAAGGAATAATTGAAGAGAGCAATTCTCCTTGGAGGGCTCAAGTCCTGGTTACCAAAAATGAGAATCACAAAAGACGGTTAGTCATTGATTACTCTCAAACTATTAACCGTTTCACTAACCTTGATGCTTATCCTTTACCAAATATTGAAGATCTTGTTTCAAAAATTTCTAAGTATGAGGTATTTAGTACAGTTGACCTCCGAAGCGCTTACCATCAAATCCCTATTTGTGAAAATGAGAAAAAATACACTGGCTTCGAAGCAGGTGGAAAACTATATCATTTCAACAGAATACCTTTTGGAGTTACCAATGGAGTTGCTTGTTTCCAGCGTGTAATTAATGGTATAATCAGTAAAGAAAAGTTAGAAGGGGTTTTTGCTTATCTAGATGATTTGACGGTTTGTGGTAAAGATCAAGAAGATCATGATAGAAATCTTGCAAATTTCTTGGCAGCAGCCAACAAGTACGGGCTGACTCTGAATCAAGACAAATGTTCATACTCCCAAAGATCAATCAGACTTCTGGGATATCTAATTGAAAATAACACTATTAAACCGGATCCTGAAAGACTTGAACCCCTTCTGAACTTACCTGTTCCTAGTAATTTTGATTTATTAAGGCGTGCAGTTGGAATGCTAGCTCACTATTCAAGATGGATCCCTCAATTTTCTGAAAAAGTACACAGATTAGTTAAATGCAAAACATTCCCAATTCCTCCAGAAGTTGTTTCTGACTATGAAAAACTGAAACAAGAGATAGCTCAGTCTGCTATTAATACTATTGATGAATCTATCCCATTCGTAGTAGAAACTGATGCATCACAGAATGCACTTGCAGCGACTCTTAGTCAAATGGGTCGTCCAGTTGCTTTTTTTTCACGATCGTTATCAGACAGTGAAAAGAGACACTCGATAATAGAAAAGGAAGCAGCAGCTATTGTCGAGGCAGTCAGGAAATGGAGACATTTCTTAGTTGGACGGCATTTCAAGATTGTGACAGATCAAAGGTCGGTGTCATTTATTTTTGATCAAAAACACAGTAGCAAAATAAAGAATGAGAAACTTCAACGATGGAGGCTAGAACTGTCTTGTTTTAGTTTTGACACTGTCTACAGGCCTGGTATTCAAAATACAGTCGCTGATGCCTTCACTCGACTCTGCAGTTCGATGCCAAATCAAAGTTTAATTGACTTACATAAGTCACTATGTCATCCAGGCGTTACTCGAATGGTGCACTGGGTCCGAACCCACAATCTTCCTTACTCAGTCGAAGATGTGCGAAAAATGACTGCAGGCTGTCCACTATGTGCAGAGATCAAACCAAAATTCCTGAAAACTTCTAGTGGACATCTCATCAAAGCTATGGCCCCATTTGAGAGGCTTAATATGGATTTTAAAGGGCCAATCCCTTCAGTAACAAATAACACCTATATTCTAACTATAGTTGACGAATATTCACGTTATCCTTTTGCACTCCCCTGTCCTGATATGAGCTCAAGAACTATTATCAAACAACTTCACAAAGTCTTCAGTATTTTTGGTACACCATCATATATACACACAGACCAGGGTAGCGGTTTTATGTCGGTAGAACTAAAATCATTTTTACATAATTTGGGAATAGCTACAAGTCGTGCAAGTCCATATAACCCACGTGGAAATGGGCAAGTTGAACGATTCAACGGAGTAATATGGAATACTGTTCAGCTAGCATTGAAATCGAGAGGGATGAAAATAACTCAGTGGGAAAGTGTTTTAGATGAAGCCCTTCATTGCATCAGATCCCTCTTATGCACAGCTACGAATTGTACACCGCACGAAAGAATGTTTAAACATCAAAGAAGATCTAGCAATGGAGAAACTATCCCTACTTGGCTGACTATTCCAGGAAAAGTTCTTATGAAGAAGCACATAAGAGGCAGTAAGTTTGACCCACTGGTCGAAGAGGTTGAAGTAATTGAGACAAACCCAAAATATTCTTTAGTCCGCAATAAAGAAGGAAGAGAATCAATTGTGTCCTTAAGATATTTAGCACCAAGAGGAAATGTAATGCAAAATCCAACAAATCTTACTTATGAAAACGAAGACGGTGATGAACAGTTGGAACAGAACACTACCTCGTCAAAATCGCTCCTTCTGGAACAGAACACTACTTCGTCACAACCGCTCCTTCAAAACTATACAGATTTATGTTTACCACCAGCAACGTCAGATGGTGTTCCTGAAAATGATGAACATCAAACCAGCAGCGCTCCCTGCAATCAACCTCATCCACCACGTCGGTCAACCAGACCAAAGGTGTTACCTAAGAAATTCGATGTGTATAAAATTTACTAGAGCGGAAGAATGTGGTGATATTCCAAGTACTGTACAAAATGTCAGCTGACATTCTTAATGTTTTAGTCAGATTTGTTTATTTATTCTCTTTAATTCTTGTATTCAGTTTTGCTTAATAAAACCTAAGTTTTATTCTCTAAAGGTTTATTACACTTAGCTTGCCCATTTGCTTTGCTCCATATGTAAAACTAGGTGATGTACAATATTGGTCCTGATTTGTGCTTCAGCTGCTGTATGCACCAAGTGGATCTTAAATGCGAGGGATTTGAATAAAATGGCTCATAGTTTCTTCTTACCGCCATTGTGATTAAACTTACACTATTGAACAACATTTTGAATACGAGATTGACAAGAAGCCTATGCTATTTAAGTTTGAACAAAAAAGATAAGTTTTTTGTTGGTTTTGTTATTAGCATCAGGTAGAATACTAAAATATTCTTTGGGAATTGTAAGGTTGGCATGCTCATTCAGCTTGTAATATTTTTGTTTGTGATGATAAGTGTTAAACTAAATTGTTATTTATGTAGTTGCTTAAATACCAAGGAATTAACTAACCACTTATTGTGCTAAACAAAATTGATTTCTTGTCTTTCACAGTGTTTTTTTTATTCCTGTCTGTTGTTATTCCATCAGTCTTTTGTTTCACTTGTTTTTCTGTAAGTAAACTATACCATGACACAGAATACGATAATATACCAAAATAAATAACAAACTAATCATAGAATTTAAACGCAGACCGATTTTAATAATTATTATTGAACAATGAAAAAAGTATGGTAGCTCCTTCCTGCTTTGTTCATACATTCACTTGCCGTACTTTATCTTACCTCCGTATCTTACCCTTAAGAGGATTCTGGCCTCCCATTCCCATCCCTCACCTGCCTCTTCAATGAATAACCCAGTTTGGAGATGTCTTTCATTAGTTAGTCTTTCCGTTTCCACTTCATTCTTGGTCTTACAAGTGGCCGTCTACCTTATGGTACTCCTAAGAATCTAATTTTAAAGGTATAGGCTAGATGTAAGTTATCTTCTTTCCACCAGCAATAGCTCTATAGCCTGCCCATCAGAGCATGTCCCTTTTACGTCTGGAAAGCACTCCTATATCTGGGTGTTTATAAATTTCTTTTAGCTTTCTGTTCTTTCAACCTTTGTTATCTTGAACTGATGGTCCGTATATTTTCTGTAGAATCTATTCTTAAATCCAGCAATCAAGTTTTTCGGTTCTTTGGTCAGTGCCCAAGTTTCTGAACCATACAGTACTACTGATAGTTATTGTATAGTATGAATTGATTTTAGTTTCTATGACACCCTGCTTATTATTATATTAATTAATCATTGTTCTTTATTGTGATTGAATAGTGCAGCACATTTCTAGGAATTGATTTATAGCCCAAACCATAGCAATCCTTTGATCTGGGATAGTATCTCTTACCTTTTCCTTTATATAATTAACTATACAGAAAATGTTTGTAAGGACTTTATGTTACGGTCAGTGCAGTAGAAGAGGGAACTGTACCTACTGATAAAACTTAGTGACATGTACCAGGATGCAAACCCACAACATCGCTGAGATTCATAGTCCCCCGAATGAGTTACCGACACAACAGCCACAACTAAAGTTAGGTAGTCTTGTTTCAACCACATCTACGGTATTTACTATTTTTTGTAATCAGGAGGGACAATAACTAAACAAATAAAGAAGTAGACGTGAACTACAATTATCTACACCCCCGTATTTTAAGATGTATTATATTTAGATGATTAAATTTACTTATTTCAAAACAAAATTAACTATACATGATTCTCTAAATGTATAATGATTCGGTTAAACTTCTAGCTACATTTTCTCAGGACAGAGTTCATTAGAAAGGTGTCAACTGTCAACTAAGCCCAGTCCAAGCAGCTCGAATGATTCTATACTATTTACCACCACAAACTACGCAGTTGGTTAGTTGTGAGCAAGCGAGCAAATGAAAGCCATGCGGCGAGGCTGCGTTAGGTTAGTATAATATCTCACCTGCTCACCTCTGGCTTGGGGAACACTGTTGCTTGCTGCCGATCACTCTCTTGTACAGGGTCAGAGCATTGTGTAGAATATTGAGCACAGACAACGCATGAACACTTGACAGCACATCTGCGAAAACACATTCTCAAATTACTCAATTCTACTTTTTGGAGCATAAATTATCAAAGCATATTTTTAACTATCTACTATCATTCAGTCCGCCTATTCTCTTGATCATTGTTGATGAAAATTGAATTGGAAATAAAACAATTAAATATTTTCAGGTTGTAAAAGACGTTCAAAATGACTACGTACCCTAACTAGGTGGTCAGAGCCTAACTAACCATCAGAAAGTTGGTTTGATCCAAGGAAATGTCATGAATTTTTTGTGGTAGGTACAGAACTGAACCCAGTAGGCCAAGTCCTTGGTCATTGGGCTTTTGTAACAGCTCTGAGTGAAGAAACAGCTGATTTTGGTTGGTAAGATCACAGGTTATGTCACTCTATTCTACAATCCTGCATTAATATTCATCTTTAAATGTGAACCCAAATATGTATACAAGTGTACGTCACTGGTTAAAAAACTAAATTACTGATTGATTGATTGATTGATTGATTGATTGATTGATTATAAATTTTTATGTCTTGTCTAAATGTTTAAGTTGAATTTTTAGATGTTTAATGTACAACATATGAGTGAAGAATGATAGATTCTTGACAAGGATCCCAAGAAGACGGCATACCCAACTATTGTCAGTCCACCCTTAGAGGAGATACTGGGAACCACTAGACGAAATCAAGGTAAATGAACCTCTTATTATATATGCAGTAGTAGTGTAACATTCAGTAAGGCAAAAAAATGGCTAATTATGAAGATGTAAAGTAAAGTAACACATGTATTTGTGAGTTCTTTTACGACATGGGTCATTCAAAAATGCTTTAAAAGGATTATTACGCTAGATATAATTTGAAACTGTATAAGTGTTGAAGTCTATCACATTGATGTGACAAGAATAGATACTGTATAAGGTAAACACGTGGGTAAACTTACAGCACATAGGCTTAAGACTTTCTAGAATCTCAGATAGAACAAGAACTTTTACCATGTATACACTCCTCCTGTGGAGGCTCCTCACTAGGTAGAGGTTTGCGTGTTGTGTCGAGCTGCTCAGTGACAGCGTGACGCCACACGGAGCCTAGACGCTTAGCGGACACCTTGGCTGGCCGGGGCCTGGGCGGGGGTGTCTCAGGAACTGGGCTCTGCGGGGGCAGTTCCCACATGGGCTGTTTCCTACAACATAGTTGGTGTTAATTGCAAGTTGTTAGTTGTTACTTAGGAGCAACCATAGAAGTTAAAACTTTGAATAAAGGCGAGATGGCAGAACTACATTAGGAAGCATAAATGACACTGTATTTGTGTAAGTATAATCCAAGGAGAATAGATTACACTGTACTGTACTGAAGTGCTGATAGTTTGCATCCATGGTGCATCACGTTCTAAGTGATGATAAAGAGATCACAACTCTGTGTGTGATTTGACTCTGTAGAATAAATTACATTACAAATTATTATAAGCTTATAATCAGCTGATTATTTGGCCATAACTGCTTTATTAAAAGCAAGAAGGTTCCAGAACAGGCCTTAAATTTCATGCTAAAGTAACTCTTTTAACCAGTGCCAGTTCCAAGACCTTGTGATGGGGGGCTACCGGGGGTGTTCCACCCCAGGAGATGGGTTCGGCAGTCCTTCCCCAGAAAATATGCTTTTTAAAGTAGTTTGGTGACTTTTCAATCATTTTATGGTCAAGAAACGTGTCCATGAAGCTTCCGTTATGTTTTTATGACATGATGCAGGTTTAAACCTTTTTTCGGGGTCCAATGGGAGGGGCTAAACCTGTATCCCCCCCCCTTGGAACCAGAACTGCTTTTTAGCCTATAACAACCTTTTAAATATCACTGCCTTATACCATTACGCTTTACCATATGTGTTGCTTTTATTTCAGTAAAACTTGGTGGCAACAACTTCATATAGCCTAATTGGACTTTGTATCCAGTAGCACATAAATTGTGTAATTGGTTGAAAAACATAGGTGTAGATATATAATGTACAAGATATGCGTTTTCAATAAGTATAATGTAGGTCGCAACACTTAGGCCTAAGCTACATATTAGTTATTAATTGCTTGAACCAAAAATAGGCTAACAATTAAATTGCCTTAAATAGCTATGGCTATACAGGCTGAAACAAGGCCCCACTAGAAAAACAGGCCATGCTGCAGGATCCATGATGTCACACTAGTGGATAGATTTCATTGATAAATTCATTGCCATCACAATTTCCATATGTTTTAGGTAAATAAACAAGCTGGCTGTTTGTAAGATTTTATTGGTAAGAGTTTAGTACAATTATCCACCACTGTGACGTAGCATTGCACTGCCCGTGCTGCAGCATTGCCTGTTTTTTCTAGTGGGGCCTTGGCTGAAATAAATAGATAGTTTAGACCATTTGCTTCATCGTGCTAACATCTGGTTGTACTTGTGTAATATTTATCTAAATCTAAATCAATCCCAGAGTCACCCTGTTTGAGTTGAAAGTGTATTATTATTTTAAATCTTTCAAAACTAAGCAAATAATTACGGTAAATTCATGGCTATAAATATATATATATATATCTTTGGTTCTATAGATTATAACACATAATGTACACAATTAAGTAAAATGTTGGTTAAAACAGTCTGATATTTAAAATAAAAACTATTATATTATAGGCAGTAATAAAGTAACACTGTATTTTCATCATAAAATCTTAGTTCTCAGCTCTTTTAATTTAGTTCCCTCATAAATGTCATGATCTTTCATTAACTTTATAACTTTTGTTGCCTCAAATATTAAGGAAACATTAAATCCTCATTATTTCATAATATTCTTTTAACAGCTTGTGTTATGACTAAAGCCACAGTTCTTCAAAGTTAACTGTGACTTAAGTTAACTTATCTCTTGGTGTGTAAATATTTTCATTTTTTAAATGAGCATTGTTCTGGTTTGTTACAAAGTTTACTGTAATAGAATAGCAAATTATTAGGTACCGGTACCCTACCTAAAATAAAATTATAAATTTAACTGCCTAATATTTTACTTCAAACCTCTCCCTAGATATGCCACTGCGGTTATGTGGATTTTGACTAATGCCGTCAGTGGTTAACTTAACTGCTGGGTAGCCCAAGCGTCTTGAGCCTTGGTGTCGTACAGCCCTAACACTTTTGGGCCCTTAGGAATTGAATACCGTAATTTAGCCAATAACATTCCAGTACCTACAATTATTTCTGATTTTATAATTGGAATCCTTAAAGTTAGTATTATCTTAACCTACACAATATTAGCAGGGAATCTATATGTTTTTATTGTCTTCTAAATAAATATTTTTTCATTACGACAACCACATTCAAAATGGGGCCAAGGAGTAAATTTTAGGTACCGTACTTTGGTATTATCCGGAGACCCTTGCTTATACAGCGCGCTGCGGGTTGGGTTGGGTTATCATAAATATGTTTGTAGGACTTTCCTCATTTGATTATGAATCAAACAATACCAGATAAGGCATACTGTCGCTCGCCAAATCCGCTCCAAGTAGGCCAAGGGGGGGTCGTTAACCGCGCACTTCACCTGTCACCATCCGTCACGACCTGTATCTGGTGTGGCAGCTAGCGGCAGCGACGCATTCATCTCAATCCTCGCCAACATCACTGCCTTCTGGGAGGTAGAACTCAAATGCCGCTAATCATGTAGGCCTAATCATGAGAAATATAGAAAGTAATTCCATAAATTAAAGTATGTTCTTTTCCCCCAAACACTTCTTTAACCCAACTCAACATAACCATCGCAGGGCACTGTATAAAGGTGGCTTCGGGATAGTAACAAAGTACCGGTACCAAATAATATAAAATTTCTGGTCAAATTTCTTTACTCGAGCAATTGAACTCTGAAAATAAAATTAAGAGATAGTTTAACAGGCCGCTCCGATAAAAGGGCCCGTTGGGCCAACTCTCCAGTCACCCATGTAGTTTGAGGAGAATCTTTGAACTAATTTGTTATCGGAAACCAACATAACGTTTATCAAATTTCAGTTACTGGTAAGTAATTGGATATTGATAAAAATACCTTAGGGGCATGGCATTTCATTAAAAGAGTATAGCCTCAGTATCAAAAGCTGGGAGGAGGAGCTGGCAAAAGTTCCTTCAGTGCAGGATGACATGGTCATAACTTATTTAGTGAAGGAGTAAAAATTTACTCAAGTTATGTCACAGATGAATTTGTTACTGGGTAGGCCCAACATTATTGAGTTAGAGCCACAGACTGTCGAGATGAGGTTTATCGAAGCTTCAGAATGTTGGAACTTAAGTGTGTAGGCCTATAGGAAGGCTAACTTAAACTTACTTGTCATTGCATGGGTGATGCAAGGCGGTGGAGGTAAGCACCCTGACATGCCCCAGTCTATGGACCACAACAGCGTCGATCACCTTGTTGATTGTGACCATCGCGGTGTACTGCAGGTCATGAACCCCATGTATTAGACTGAGGCAGACTCGCAGTAACAGACAACATGCGGCAGACAACTCCTGGCGACGATCGTCCAGCGACTCACCACCAGCAAGCGGCTCACCGTAGGCTTCCAGAGCAGTCTAAACAAAGACAATATAATTAAGTTATGATAATGAGACTTTTGAACAGACACCTTCAAACTATAATTTAAAACAACTTGTAACACAAATACAATATAGGGCATAGGCCTACATAATGAAGTAATGATCAAGAGACTAGAGGGTTAAAACTTAAACTTAAACATCACACTAACTTAACTTAAATGGCCATTAGTACATATGAACACAAAAACACAGAATAATGCTGGGTAGGCCGACATGTAAAATTGATACATACAAAAACATCGTAATGGATATGCTAGAGATAAAATTGAATGCAAAACAGCAATCTGGTTTGATTGTTTGTGATGAAATTTATATTGTTTTGGTCCATAACTCATCAAATTACATATTCTGACTGTTTTATTATTCTTACTGTTAAAACAGTAAATTATTCCACTTGTTAAAACATTTGCATTACAAATTTTAAAGGTGGATTCCAAAAATGTTTTTGAAAACTATGTATTTTAGGCAAAAACTGATTAGGTAGTTGAACTTTATTTTATAACACCTAAACCAAAGTTGAAACAAAATAAACAATCTATTATATTAACCAAGCTGAGTAAAATATATTTAAAGTGGTTAACATGGATTTAAGAAATTTAACTTAACCTCAATCAGAGAGTCAGTCAGAGACAACATTATTTCTCAATAAAATTTTGACATAACAACAGGTACAGCTAGTTTGTTTACAGTTTTGAACAGACAACAGAAACATCAAAACAGTACTCGAGTACTCTATCTGAAAATAAAGCAGTTCAGGGTCCCCGTACGGCATAGAGTATTTTGAATATCCATTTACTATGTAATCATAGGTTTTATATAATGCTTGATGAATTGGCATTAAGGTATCAATAATATTAGTGCTAATCGTTGATCAATATCCCTATGGCTACGTTTAGATCAATTAATTTGAATGGTGTAGACTTCTCATTCTCATTCTAATGTAAATGTAAAATCAAATCGGAAGCATATGCTACCCATGCCTTTGTTTATGAGTTTATGCGTGTTCATGTTGGTAACGTCTAGAGTGCCCTGATGCCCCGGCCACCTTTAACTCCAGGCCGTGGCCTTCGAAATGGCAACATTGCAAGTAGGGTTGTAACAGCTCAACAGCTGTTTTGTTTGGATGCGGCTAGTGGTCTTTGTGTAATTTTTAAGAATACAAAAGCTTGGTTACAGGGCTATGAAAATAATGACTCGACTCCAACTTATTAATGTACAAAAATAAATTTTCAATTTGAATATTGTTTTGGTTTTCAATTCTATATGTTTATTTTCAATCTTTTAATAAATTAATGTACATAAATTTAAATTTCAATGAATAATACGCGAATTAATGAGCTGGTGTCACCTGTCTGCAATGTTATCTTAAAGGGACACGTCTGGCGCTAGACAACACTACTTTTGCAACGTTGCCAATTCTACCAGGCGAGTTTGTGTATTCATTGGTGCAGGCGAGGCGCGGCTATTCTGTAATACACGTGTTTAAATGGAGCACCGCACATTGAGCAGAGGCAGAGGCTGCGCGCAGCCTCCGCGCAGCACAGCTGCAGCCTCTGTCAGGCCTCTGCGGCGTTGTAGTTGGAATACAGTTTTCCTGCACCTCGCTCACGCCTGCGTTGGGTTTCAAGTGTTTTGTGAGTGAAAGATATAGAAACGGAGCATTAATTCAGATGGCTATATGTTTTTGAGCTTTGCATTCCTTTCCACTAATGCCACTTTTAATCAAGTTATGGATATCATTAAACTGTTGTTTGTTCACACGAAAATATTCTCTAAAAGGCCGTCTGGCAGTTCAGTAGTTAAAACATACTCCCCATGGCTCAATATTTTTTTACGTTTTACGTTTTTAGGATAGCGATTAGGGTCAAACTAAATTATTAAACTCACAATTAGAATGAATAAGGTCCAAAGAATATTTCTCTACTCGCGACAGTAGGACCAAAGCTAGGAAACCTCTGTCCCGCCTCGCTTCAATGTGCGGTGACACGAAAAAGTCCTCGCTCCCGCCTGCACCTCGCCTGCTCCTCTCCTCGCTCCAATGTGCGGCGGGCCTTACTGCACTGGACATTCACTGTAGCCTATTGTTCGACTTGTTTCTTTTATGTTACCTAGCGTTACTTCAAGATGAGGAGGGGGTATGTTGAAAATGATAAAATTTAATATTTTTGGGAAATAACTTAGTTTTAGAGTGAGTACACATTAATTTGACCTTTAATATATTATGGAGGAGTGCGGCCATGCTGCGATGCAAGGTGGCGTCACTTTTCTGCTGCAAGACACGTAGCAGCCCGGGGATATGGGAGAGGATACCTCTGAGAAGGTAGCCTAGGCACTCTGGGTTACTGGACATTGACAACAACACGTGGAAGCTGCGGCCCGACTCGGCACTGACTGGCTGCTTCTCTGCAATGTTTATAAAACATTTACTCAAATACTACAGTTAATCCTACAGGGTTATTCAATGTTTGGGGAGAACGAGAACATATTGAAGTATAGGTAGACATTTTGATGTATCCAATAAAACAAGAGGTATCATTTATAAACTTAAAAATACATATTAAAATGGAAATTGCTTATTATATTCTCTCTTTCCTCAGTAATTAGTAGGAGAAGATAAGAAATGTCTGAATCTAATATTTGATAGAGCAAACAAATTATTTAATTTTCTGATAATATTTATTGTTTGTAACAAAGCCACTCGTAAATTCGTTTGTTCATTATAGGGGGTGATATTCTATACATTCTATGAACTAGCCAACCAAATAGAACTACTTACAAAGAATGCACAAAAATCGTTATACATAGATACTATAATTACCAATAACAATAGAAATGGCTTTTATTCCAGTGTTTGTATCCGAGTGTTAACGTACTTTATTAACTGAATCTAAAACATATAGCAAGTTTGTTGTGATTGTATGGTAAAAAAATCCTTAATGTAAATCCCTAATTTTGTTTCCATGAATTTTCCTCGAATAATCTACGATAATGTAATGAGGGGTTCAAATGTTAATGTGCCTACAAATAATGGTGTTGTATGGCATTACATTTCGGGCTAACTAGTTTTTTTCTGGATTGACACCACATCTAGATGGAACCCTTTGTTTTCTAAATAATGAACTAACAAATAGGTAAGATACATCGATGGGTAAGACTTTTTGTTTCAGTGACTAACCAGATACTGAAGAATACTGCCGCTCTCTAGCAGCCTCCCTCCAAGTTTTTCTTCTGCATTTGTTTTTCCTAATTTCACTATCTCTCTTTTTTAGCACATCTCCATTCTCCTGAAACATAACATCCTTATTTTATTCTTCTTTGAAACGTATACACTACAAAGCCGACCCCTTTACTAATGTTTACACAACATGGGACGTATTAAAGTTTATATCTAGGTGAAGCATTTGGCTTCCTAAATGTATTACTATGCAGCTGTAATTACGGTTCTACAGCATTACACTATTCTAAACAAATGACAATACTGTGACGACAGTGGCTAGAACATAAACACATCAACCTTTCATTATTGTCAATGGCTTCAGTGAGTTTAATTTGTTTTAAAATACACCATAAGTCTGTCAATAATTAACTAAAATGGTCGTGTTACCTAACAAGAACACATCGTGAACTATTTTATTCATGTCTGGGAATATGTCCTCTAGTTTAAACTTGTAGGTAACTGTATTCTTTATTTTGTTTGCTTTCTTGGTGTCATAAAAATAAGTTTACAATCACAGGACATTTTCCTTTGTTCATACTATTAGCAGACATTTTTATTAAAGATTTTTAACTCAATATTTTTTGCTGAACTCATTTTACTTTGCCGCCTTCCAGTGTTCCAACCACACAATACAAAACGGTGTACTCGTGCTGTTTACTTACAAACGTGCTTTTTTAAGGCACGTAATACGTGTGCGCTTGAAAATAAGTTGGTAACATTTAGATACTACGACTACGATCAGCTGGTGCAGCGTTTCACAGCCTTCGAGCATTGGTACTACGACTTTTACCTGTTAGTTGTTTCGTGTTAACGTTCTAGGGTGGAGCGCGGTAATTTGCTTATTTGGGAGTGGAATAAAAAAATTATGAACATGTAGAAACTTAATTTTATATTTCACTTACATTGAACAGTAATGGAATTTACAAATTATTTTGTTTTAAATATTATATCTGGCAAATGTTGACCTTCCCGATCCACACACTGCTGCATACGTTTTCTGAAGTTCTCATGCACTTTTTCAAGCATGTCGACTGGTATTCTGGCAATCTCAGCAGCAATATTGTTCCTTAGGTCTTCCAGGGTTTTGGGACGGTTGCAATACACCTTGGACTTCAGGTAACCCCAAAGGAAAAAATCGCATGGAGCTAAGTCTGGTGAGCGTGCCGGCCAGTTCAGATCACCATTGCGAGAGATGAGCCGTTCAGGAAACATTTGCCTCAAAAGATCAATGGTAACTCTCGCTGTATGTGCAGTGGCACCATCTTGTTGAAACCATGTATCCTCTAATTGCATTGCCTCAAGTGCTGGATGGAAAAAATCCTGCAGCATAGTTAGGTAACGTTCGGCATTCACAGTTGCCGGAAAAAAGTAAGGGCCAATGATGCCTACTCGTGATAAGGCGCACCACACAGTGACGCGGTCCGAATGCAGAGGTCTCTGATGAACTTCTCTGGGGTTTGTGTCACTCCAGTACCGCATGTTTTGCTTGTTTACACACCCACTGAGATGAAAATGTGCCTCATCAGAAAAGAACACAATTGCGTCACGAGGTATGGTTGCAAGCATGTCTTCACAAGATGTTCGTCGTGTCAAATAATCCCGTGCTGACAATTGTTGGACCACACACATTTTATATGGGTGGAAATGCAGTTCACTATGGAGAATCCGGTGGAGAGAACGCCTTGAAATGCCAAGAGCAAGTGCTTGCTTCCGAGCAGAGCGTTTCGGAGATTGCAATACTGCTGCTCTAACTCGTTCGATATTTTGTGGTGTTGTAACACTCCTCGCAGGTCCTCTTCGTACAGATGACACATTCCCTGCTGTCCTGAATGCATTCACCCAATTCACAACTGATTGCCGTCCAGGAACACGTCCGCGTGGGGAAACAGCGAAACGCAAACGGAAAGCACGTTGCACTGCAATTATCGAGTAGTTATTTGAAAAATTTGCTTCAACACAAAATGAACGCTCCTCACGTGTCCACTACATGATGGCAACTCAAAATGAGCTGAAGACAAACTTCCGGTCAGTCACAACAATCATCGCCCACTTCCGCCTCTTTTTGACTAACAGTGCTGCCAACCACCTGCAACTCAAAATAGCAATTTCCCGCGCTCCACCCTGTATTTTCGTTCAACGATAGATAGCCTAACCTAAAAGGTGTTATTTAGTGTTTGAAAGACTAATTATTTACATGCTTTATAGTAACTATAGGAATTCAATGTGGTACGCGAGCGCAATTTGCCTTTGCTGCACCCGATAAACTTTCCACACTCGCCTGCAGCTCATGCGTGAAAATGGTTTTCATGGGCTGCACTACTTACAAAAATAACTATTTCGTTTTTTCATAAATGGTTTTCTAAAATTAAAACATATTTCAATACATTGTATTTTCACACACTAAACAGCTTTCACAAGCCATGATACAATTAAAAAAAGATTTAAATGATTTAATATTATATTTTAATTTAATATAAAATGATAGCTCCCACTCTAGATTAAGCCTTTAATGGATTATACAGAAATTTCACCCTTATTGCTTTTTGTTGCATAAAAAAAGCTGATTTCTACGTAGTAGTTAAAACTGCTCAAAGTTGTTACGAATTCATGAAACTTATAGAGGTGCTATTTATATGCTGATATTTTGAATGTTTGACAATTAATACAGTAACCAATTTCACTGTTAAACTGCTACCCTGGACGTTGAGGTTGAGGTCGAGTGAGGCCAACGAATGGAACCAATCATTGACTCAACACTCTCCTGCAGATAGAAACATTGCTTATGCATTTACACTACCTGTTTATCTGCTTTATCAATGAATGGATATTGGACTATTATTTTTGATACATGTTTGCTGAAGAAAATATTAGTTACCACTGTATTAGTTTTTAGACAAGTAAAATTTTGTAATTGTCTTGAATTATAATTATTACTTAATTATAACGAAGTTTTCTTGTGCAGTTATTAACTATTTAAGGCTGAACACGTAGCAGGTTTTATTTAGAACCATTTTTTGCAGACTGTGTGAGTAGAAAAATATTAAAAATTTTCTTGGAATCGCTATAATTAATTTAATTAAAGCTCACGTTTATAACTTTGTCAATAATAAATTTCGGCAATTTTGTAATTCAATTAAACTTATGGTTATGATGCACAAACATAGAGTTTAGTTTTTAAAATTAAAATAAAGCTAAAAGACGCACATAAACCCTTTTTGTGTTCACGTTTTTATGAACTTACATTTAATGCAATATAAAAGAAAATAAAGCATTACTATTTTACAAAGAATCGAGCAATAATTGATCGGTTTTAAACTATTTGGTTAATTAAGTATTTTCTGGATTCCCAAAGTAATTTTACTCCCAGTACAATGTTTCTTACAAATAAAACCCGCTCAAAGGAAGCTGAATGAATTCTTTTCCAAGCTAAAAGGAGATAACGATAACGTTTGGTTTCCACAAGACATTAGCATTTAAATAACCTACGTAGATTTACCAAAAACAATCGGCAATAAAGAATAGCTACAACATCCTTTAGGAACTTTGTTTTAAAAACATATTGATACATGCTCTTGTACGTGTTATCCGTAGCTTGAATAAACTCTTTGCCAATTTGTTAATATTTTTACCATAGATTCTGTGCGAATAACACGTTAGAGATGACTTCAAGGCGGTAGGTAAAATCAGGGCTTACACCATGATTTTAGTAATGATACAGATTAAAATGATTTTTGATGCAACCTATAGTCATTGAAAGTATCATAAGCTACTGACAGAGATTTTAAGACGATGTTCCGTAAAAGCTGATGCGATTGAAAGTGGGTTTAATTGGAGTAGTAATTAGTAAAATTGGCTACCTCAGCAGGTCAAGTAATTGGAGCGTCATGTGCCAGGCCTCTTGTATCCTCTCAGAGGGTCTTGTGATACTAATTCTGACCTTCCATGCACAAGTAATGCACTTCATCTTACTAGAGAAATAGAAAACAAATGTCCCAGCACTGTTGTAGAAACGTTTGTTTTGTAAATGTAATAATATTCTTAAATAGTATTTTGATATATTATAAGGACATTCACATTAACATTCACTCAAGGCATTTAAATAACAACTTTCAAATAATAACTTTCAAATAATATCAGCACATGGAAATGCCCTGAATAGTTCTTCCCTAGACCTCATGTATCACTGATAAAAGAGAACAGTTTGGCAATATGTTACTACTATCTGTCGATAGATTAGTATGCAAATATTCTCGAAACGGCACCAATAAGTTTTATTTGACAATGTAAAAATATTTGGATTAGGCTATACAGTAACTAATTACGACATAGGCCTACGTTATTTTTCGCAAAATAAAATACCCTCACTGCAGCAAACCTGCAGACAAAGCGACATAGGTTTGCTGCTACAGGGAGGTTAGTGAAGTATGTTTTTAGTAAAATACTAGTAGGTTTAGTATAAAATAAATACATTTGCCAAGTTTAATCAAAACATTTTCATAAACTAGAAAACTAGGACATTTTACAATATTGTCCATAAAAATAACACGGGAATTTTAAATTTGCAATTTTTGAAATTTTCCCCGTAAACAATAACTCTACAAAAACACTTTGGTATACTAAACTATTTTGTGTAGCTCTTAAAAATGGTCTAGAGTAGAGAAAACCCAATTTTTACCCCATAAAACCCTGTTCCCAGCATGTATAGCAATCATGTATGATCATGCTGGTTTTCGAACTCATTCAAGTTTATCACCAAATTTCATCAAAATCGGACAAACATTACTCAAGTTACCGCGTTTACGGACGTCTATATAAATAAAGTTGAACGAATAGTGTTTTGGCCTCTAGGAACACCAAAATGAAAAAGTATATCGGTCCAGGCTCCAGGTCTCACCGTGCCACCTATGGTAATAGCTCCTTATAGGGAAGTTCGCTAAAAATGTATTTAATATAACTTACGGAAAATAAATTTTTTTATTAAAATCTAAATTAAATTTAATGGTTACTTAGGAAATCAAACAGTAGTTTATAAAAACCTTATAGGCCAATAATTATAAAGAGCTTTGT